GAAAGAGCACACAGGTATATGCAGAAATTTCTATGAAAAAGACTAAGATAATGGCAACATAGGTAAGAACAATTGTCACAAAATCTAAGTGCCTATTTTTTTTTTCTTTCTGCATCTAATGACAGTCCCTTGGCTTCCTTAAGTCCTCTGGCCAAGTTATAAATGTTCTTTCAGCCTGTTTTGATCAGTCTACTGTCATGTTTCCAGTAATGAAATTGTAAACACAGCCTAAACTAGCTTATTAAATGAAGGGCATCTTTCTGAAGTCTAAGGATCACGAGAATGGTTTCATTAATATTAGCAAATATGACTAATTACTTTTTCAAGAGCTAAATAAGAAATGTTAATATTTCATTTGCGTCAGTATTTTCTGTCCTCAGACTCTTGCTATGGGTCCACAGGCCAAAGCCTCAACATCAGTTAAATATGTGTCGGCACTTTCTCCTACTTAGTATTAAGGAATGGAATCTTAAGTATGAAAGATGTCTTGTATAGTATGTCAAAATGTTGAGCAATATTGCTTCAGTCTAGATCCAGAAATGAAAAAAGAGCAGATGATTTCCCTTTTGCTGTAATTCACTTTGGGATGCATGTCATGAAGAGCACTATACAAAAGCAATTTTCATTGATTGACTGACTGATTGAGGAAAAGGGTGAATGTTCTTTTGCGTCCCTACTGAAGTATGATTCTTATAGCTCCTGACAGCTTTTCACAATTTCTAGTTAAATGGCATGCTAACAAACAAGTAAATAAATAATAAGTAAATGAAAAAAAAAAAAGAAAAAAAAAGAGAAAGAAAATCATACTTAGAATCTCTCTGCATTTTTAAGAGAGCTGACTTGAGCCAAATAGCTGAGCGGACTAGGCTGGGCAAGAGATACTCAAATCTAACTGCTCTAATTCTCTTATGCAATGAAGCTCATCAACATGCTATCTGCATAACACACTCAGTGACAGTGCAGGCCATAGGTGCTGTTCTTCTCCCACAGGAGGTACTACTCTTTCTAGAGTATTCAAGGAGATTCTGATGCAGACAAGATTCTGCCTCAGTGTCCTTAACATTTCAAAACAATTCATCATGTCTCTAAAATGGTTTATCAATTTTATGCTCATCTAATTTGGGCACAGCTTTTGTCTTTTCATAAGCCAGAATGAATGCTATCTACTGGTTATGAATGCAAATATTTAACAAAACCAGTAATGAAACTGAAAAAATTAATATACAAATGTTATCTACAAATTCTTAGAGCATATTACTCTCACCTTCTACAATCTGACCGCTGATACTGCTAATCTCTTTAAGTTAGCATAAAAATACTTGGAACTGTATTAAAAATACTGACATAAAAATACTTGGGAAATTCTTCTTTCCTAAATTATGCAAACTGGGATTTTCTCAGATGTTAAGTCGAAGTGATCCTAGTAAGCCAACAACTCTTACCTCAAACACTCACTTAAATTCAATGACTCCTCATATGAAATAAATTTTAATCCTTGTAGACCTACATCTGCTCACAAACTGTGGAAGATCTACTATAGTCATGTGACAGGTCATAATAATTGCACTTCCGGTTGAGAGGCACACAAATGGCCAGGGCCGTGAAGATATGGGCTTTTCTGTGGACACTTGAGGACATCACCTTTGCAGTTTGGGATTAACACTCTCCATGCAGTTACCAAGTATGTCTAGGGTGGGAGGAAAACAGTTCAAACAGTAAATAATTGCAGTATCATTGCATCCGTTTAGTTTAAAGAGCTGACAAGCCCTCTCTAAACTCCAGGCACAATTAGTCATTAGGGTCTAGTTTTTCAGCACTGTTAAGCAATTTGTAACCCATTCCTTTTAATAGGGTTAGGCATTACTTAACGACACAGATGCCTTGAAAAGTGAAACCTCAAGTTATGAAGCAGCAACCTTGTTCATTACCTTCTGTGATAGGCAAATCATCTATAAAAACAGCATTTAATGGGCAACCAATGAATAATCAATGGCTCACTTTTCATCTGAGTGTGAAAATGAGAATAATCTAATACAAGTCCCACTGGTGAGAGTCTGAATCTTGGTTCTGCCACTCTTCAGGGCTGATTTATAAGGTCTTGGAAAGCTGATGTAAACAGATGATCAATGGGCCCATCCCTGCTCATAATAACCCCCAACTGGCCCACTCCCTCTTTTCCAGGTCCATCCCTTCAGGCTATTAGCTCTGTCCAGCTAATTCTTCCCACTACTCCTGCCTGCTGCTTTTACTCTGGCCATCCGTTCAGTCCAGCAGACTCAGAAGTAATTTTATACGCAGCAGAGAGCGGGTGGAATTGATTTTTCACTCAGTACTCAGTTCCCATCTGAATAATTATCAATTTTACTGCCTCATAAAGGGAAGAGTCAAAATTTCAAATCAATTCAAAAGAGCTTTTGAGACGACGAAAACTGTGCATGAGAATAGAGGTCAAAGTTGTCAGTGACCTAAGGAGATGATGTCAGATATTACTATACCCAATAGTTGACATCAGAGGCACTCAAGATGATATAACCTAGTGCTAATGCAAATCATATTTATGCTGACTACCAGAGACCAGTCATTAATATTTAAAATGTTATCTGAAAGCTTACATCCCAAATAAATAGAATGTATTCTACTGCTTAATAGAGATATATCACTACTTAGTCATATGCTATAAAGTGAAAGATTACCAAGTCTTATTAACACACAGAAATTGCTTAAACCAACAAATGCATGGAGATTCTGAGTAAACACACACTGGCTGATCTCCTGCACAGTCATATTGCTTGCTTGCAGCCTATTGATTTTTGCTAAAATTTTCAACCAACTTAGAAGTGTCTGTCCAAAGCTGATAGGACAATACTGTGATGATGACTGACTACTAGCAGGAATGTCTTGGTGGCAGCCATGTCCTTTGTCATGGGAGGCGGGGGGGGGGGGGGCTGATTTCTAGCGGATCCTTGGGTATTTGCTATCTTAGGTGCTCCAGGTCAGTGGTCTTCAGCCTTCTCCATGCTGAACACACACAGGGCTGCAGCGTACTGCCACTGCCAGCCTACAAGTACCCGTGGTGACTTGCTGGTGGCGAGAATTGCACCTAACCAAAACAGAGTCTGTATTCTGCACAGGCATCCAGGTGATGTTGAGAGACCTTGAGGCTCCGTGGTCTGAGCTATAAGGATGTGGGCTATGAAGCTAAACAGACCTTGGTTCAAATTCCAATTCCATTACTTTCTAATGAATCTTGAGGCACCCAGGATACTGATCTGTAAAACTGGGGATCATGACAGCCACATTTCTAGGTCGTTGTGGAGTCTATATAAAATAATTCTCTAATAGTTCTCCCCTTCTGTGTCAGTCTCTATTATTACTATGTTAACAGAACTGTAGCATAACTGATTATTTTGTATCTTTACAAATCTTGTTTTTGTACTTTGTAAACAATAAATGAACAGACCATTCAGATCCATAAGAGGTCCATATCTCTAGCCCCACCCAAAGCCAGTCACTACTGGAACAAGTCAGAGTAGATACAGCCCTCATGTGCCTTCTTGGAGAAGGCTGAGGATCACTGACTTCGAGTAAGCCACCAATGAGATAACAGATGCTCATGGATGAGCTAGAAATAACATTCACCAGATTCTCAATAAATTATCTTATTTTTTACATTACTAACTAGTTGAATAGTTTTAGGGCTACAGCATATAGTTATAGGCCTGAAGTAATTAAGTTCTTTTCCAGTAACCCAAAATATGAATGAATTATACTCCTGTCATCCATCCTTGGAATGCAACTAGTTAACTGAAATGTCACTTTAATAAGACTTTCATAATTTCATTTCAATCCTAGCAAAACATTACAGTCAGGAAGGAAACCTCTTCCATGAATTTCCCATTCTATTTTCATTATGTTCACATGCAGTGATATAGTCTACTGTGTAAAAGTAACCTTTACTTGCCTGATTGAATTGTGTCAGGAGGCTGACTGCCTCTATCTGCTTACTTAGGCCTAGTCATGGCAGCTCCTAGCCTCGGTACAATCCAATCTAGCCCTAGAGTGCTTTTAGCCTCTGAGACTTCCTGCTGAAGGCTTACTACTTCCATCTGCTAACCTAGGCCTATCCTGGAAGCTTCTCTGACTAAGAAGATATTGTTCACTACTGAAAATAGAGTCAGTTGAAAAATTTACATTTGCAAATTGGACTATTATGGACATAACATGGGTGGAAGAAAATTGAAAACAGTATACAGATATTCTCCAAATTTTGTAGAAGTAGAAACACCAATCATAGAACTTGGTGTTTTGCAAATCGGACTATTATGGGTATAACCTGGGCAAAAGAAAACTGAAAACAGTATACAGATATTCCCCAAATTTTGTGTAAGTAGAAACACCAATCGTAGTGATGGTGTATCTGTAAAATGGCTTTATTTTCTTTGGACTATTCCTGGCATGTATCTTCATTTCTTATGTATGTTATTTCTCAGATTGGTAGACGTAAGTTATTTAAAACAATCACAAACTTGTGATTTGCCCATGCTAGCCAGTTAGAAGACACAACTGAAAACGAAAAAATTGAGACATTATTACGTATTAATTGGATGTTGGGAACACTGCCTAATGTCTGAACTGTGTGACTCCTAATCTCACGCTAGAACAACTGCTGATTACACTGTCATGAGTGGACAGCTCTTAGCAAGTTGTCTGCGAGGAACGTGACTAGCCCATGACTGTCCCAGCAGCCATGTCCTTGAAGCAACACTTCACCAGGTGCTGCCCGGGGTCCAGGGAGGAAGTCCGAGTGCTGGTGTTCCACTTTTCTTAGCCTCAAAAGAACTGTCCCTTCTGCATTCTGCAGTGAGCTCGACAGTGCTGGGCTGTTTATGGCTGGGTAGCCCTGAATCCGGCCAGTCACTCTTCACTGTCAGGGAAACTATCAAGGAGAATAAGCGCTAAACACCCTAATGAAGGGCTATGTAAGTTCAGGGGCAGGTTACCTGCTGCAGAACATCAGGGTTTTGCTGCATAAACTGTAACAGCCTCTGAGCAGCCTGCATGGCCTCTCTGCTTCGAAGAGGCTTCTTCCCCTCCTTTGCGATGTGCTTGAAGAGGTAGGTGACCATGTAGTCTAAGCTTGTGCAGCAGCTGGAGGAGACGACTGTATCTGCACAAACAACAGACAACAACTCATTCCCATTACCGAACTGTGGCTCATTCAGTACATGTCTCCATTAGAAAACAGGATTTCAAAGTACTTGGTGAAACTCTAAACCCTTGAGAGAAGGGGTCTGGCTTCTTGTGTTGATTACAGGGCCCGGCATAGAGCAACACTAGCAAGAAAATGATTCCTGGTCTGAACTGGACAGAATTCCCCATCTGGGACTGGAACAACCCCTGTTTAATTTGACTAGTTGTTAAGCATCTATGTAGTGAAAAGTTGTGCTTCCAGGGAAATGGCTTCCAGGGAAACAGGTGCAAACCCTGCCCTGGTAACAAAAAGTTCATGGCTTTTCATTGGGGTCACTCAGTATAAAATAATGTATGAAAGAGTCGCATAGTCACATACTGCTGGGATTTTTTTTTTTTTTTGGTGTGTGCACATGCGCGTGGAGGTTGCACACACATGTGGAAGCTAGAGGCTACTATCTAGTATCCTACCCAACCACCTGCTAACTTAGTTTTTGGAGCAAGGACTTCTCACTGAATCAGAAGCTTACTTATTTGGTTAGCAAACCCCAGGGATCTTACATCTCCACCTTCCTGAAGCTGGGTGTTACAGACTGTGCTGATATGCCTGGCTTTTCACAGGGGGAGGTGGGGTCTTCGTGCTTGAGTGGCAGGTACCTTGCCAACTAAGCCCTAACTGCTGCACTGTGAGGGAAAGAGCATGTTTTAGTGGTGATCACAGTGAGCTGGATAAAGGACATGGCTTGACATAGCTTGGAAAGGTTATTTCAGTGAGATATAAGGAGAAAGTTTCAGGGAGACAAGAGTTAACAACATGGTGAGAATTCTGGATTTTGGAGCTGAACAGCTCTGGTTTCAAATCCCATCTTTTTCAATTATTAATTGTCCTGTTACTTTGAAAGTGCTATTTTTACTTTCTCATCATCTGCAAAATACTTTGCAAAGCTGAACGAGAAAAAACGTACTTACTACATGATAGGGACAGTGCTAAACATTTTACATAAATTATTGTTTTTAATCTTTGACTACAGTCCTGTAATAGTTATCCCCATTTTATAGGTGAGGAAAAAGCAACTTGTCCAAGGGCATGCCCTTAGAACCCTGTAAGATCAGGGTTGGACAGTGAATAAGAAGTCGGACCATGAATCTATATTGTCAATAACTATGTTAGAACTAAGAATTAAGTAAAAATATACAAAATCATGAAATGCTTTTTAAAACAGTGGGGGTGGCACTACAGTTGGTAAAGTTCTTCTATAGCACACGTAAACCCTGGGGGCTTGAGCCTGGACGCCCACCCAACTGAAACAAGCCAACCAACAGCCCCGTAATGGGAACTCAAACTGCAGTCACTCACAGTAAAAAGGAGGATGCACTGTGGAGGTGAAACTTTGGTTTGCATAGGAAAATGTGTAGGAAATCAGGACAGAAGGCTAAAGTGGGTGGATACTGGTACTTAATTTGAAAGTCAACAGAGATCTTATTTAAAGTTGTTTTTCACTTCTTTTTGTTTGTTTGCTTGTTTGTTTTTTGTTTTGAGACAGGGTTTCTCTGTGTACACTTGGCTATCCTACACTTTGTAGAGCAGGCTGGCCTTGGAGTCATAAAGATCTCTGTGAGCTTCTGCCTCCTGAGCACTGGGACTAAAGGTGTGCATCACCACTCCCAGCCTTATTCAAAGTTTTCTACACAAGTAATTGTTATGCAACCATTTATCATTTCCTTTGTACACTTAACATTTGACTCTTTAAGTTTATTTTTTCTTTGGAGACAAGGTCTCACATGACCCAAGATGTCTTCTAACTTGCTATGTAGCCAAGGATGACCTTGAACTTCTCCTCCTCCAGAATCTACCTTTTCAGGGCTAGTGCTGAGACTAACAGGACCAAGCCACCATGATGAGGTTCTAGGGACCCAGCCCATGGATCCATTTTTTGGTTAATAAAGACATGTTGACATAATCCCTGGCAATATTTTGATGACTAAGGAAAAACATAGCAAACAGAGTAGTCTCACAAGAGAAACAGACTGAGAAGCCTGTAATTTCTATACTTGGGAGGTAGAGGCAGGAGGATCAGCAGTTTGACTAACCTAGGCTATTTGAGATCTTGTCTCAAAACAAACAAACAAACCCAAGTCAAATTGAATACAGAAAAACAAAGAAGGGGAGGGGAGGAGAGTAAACTGAGAAACAGTTCCTTACTCATCATATCTATATCGATATATGTATTTTTAGAGTTTTCCTTTTATTTATTTTTTATTTATTACAATTCATTCACTTTGTATCCCAGCTGTAGCCTCCTCCTTCATCCCCTCCCAACTCCACCCATGTCCCTCATCTCCTCCCACACCCCTCTCCCGGTCCACTGATAGGGGAGGTCCTCCTCCCCTTCCCTCTGACCCTATCCTATCAGGTCTTATCCGGACTGGGTGCATTATCTTCCTCTGTGGCCTGGTAAAGCTTTCTCCCATCAGGGGGAGGTGATCAAAGAGCCAGCCACTGAGTTCATGTCAGAGAAAGCCCCTGTTCCCATTACTAGGGAACCCTCTAGGAGACTGAACTGCCATGGTCTACATTTGTGCAGGGGTTCTAGGTTATCTCCATGCATGGTGTTTGGTTGGAGTCTCAGAAAAGACCTCTGAGTTCCTTTTGGAGTTCCTGTCCCCTCCAGGTCTTTCTATCTTTCCCTTCTTTCATAAGATTCCCTGGCTATGAGTCTCAGCATCCGCTTCGATACCCTGCTGGGTGGAGTCTTTTAGAGGTCCTCTGTGGTAGACTCCTGTCCTGTTCCCTGTTTTTTCCTTCTTCTGATGTCTATCCCATTTGCCTTTCTGAATGAGGACTGAACATCTTACTCAGGATCCTCCTTCTTGCTTAGCTTCTTTAGGTGTATAGATTTTAGCATGGTTATATGTCTAATATCCATCTAATATTATAAGTGAGTATATATATTATATATACTATATATTATATATACTATATATACTATATATTATATATAGTTATATATATTATTATATATATATTATTATATATTATAATATTATAAGTGAGTATATATACCATGTGTCTTTCTGTTTCTTGTATACTTCACTCAGGATAACACATACAAGAGAGGATGTGGAGAAAGGGGAACCCTCCTCCATTCCTGGTGGGAATATAAACTTGTACAACCACTTTGGAAATCAATCTGGTGCTTTCTCAGAAAATTAGGAATAGTGTGTGTTACCTCAAGATCCAGGTATACCACTCCTAGGCATATATCCAAAAGATGCTCAAGTATACAACAAAGACATTTGCTCAACCATGTTTGTAGCAGCTTTGTTCGTAATAGCCAGAATCTGGAAACAACCCAGATGTCACTCAACTGAGGAAATGGATACAAAAATTATGGTACATTTACACAATGGAATACTACTCAGCAATTAAAAACAAGGAAATTGTGAAATTTGTAGGTAAATGGATGGAACTAGAAAAGATCATCTTATGTTTGATAGATCAGAGGTGAAAGAGGGACTTAAAGGATGCAAAGTTAAACTAGTCTGAGAGAATATTCCAGAGAAGGTTCCAACGAAGTTAACACCCCAGCTTGAAAATGGTCACGTAATTATGGACCCATGTCCTAGAAACAGAAAAGAGAAGGTTGTGGGCTTCTGAGATACAGACAGGATGATGGGAGCCACACAGGATCCCAAGGAACGAGAGGCTGAACAAAGGTCATGGTATGGACAATAGTTCTGGAATACAGACGGTTAAGAAATCTTTTAAGAAAGAAGCATTCTCCGGCTTCTCAAAGCTATGGAATTTATCTACTAGATAACTCACTCTTTATCATACCCCACACCTAGGCCTTCTCTGTAGGAAGAAACCCAGTGCTCTAACTTTGGGAGGAAGCCCAGGAATCAAACACTCATTTCTTGAGTTGTTTTCCTTGTTATTTCTCCTTTATTTTTCTACATTTGAAGCCTTGATCACGAAAGTAAAGAGCAATATGCTATCAATCATACACAAACTTTAAAGACTTCACGTAATTTGGTGACCACACTGCCATGCAAGTTGCATTAAAAGGGTCCAATCCACTGAGTCAGCTGTGGAAAAGCCAGGTAAACACTTTAGACTCAAAGGTTGGAGCACACAGCTTTGCAATAAAAGTGAGGGGTTCCATTATGGTTGATTAATGGTTGGCCTTTGAAAAGGATAAATGTTATTTCCAGGTAGTTCCCCCCCCCCCCAAGACAGGGTTTCTCTGTGTAGCCTTGGATATCCTGGAACTCACTCTGTAGAACAGACTGACCTTAAACTCACAGAGATCCATATCCCTACCTCTGTCTCCTGAGTGCTGGGGTTAACGGCTTGCTTGTGCCACGACGCGGCACCTGGCATTTCCAGGTAGTTTTAAATGTGTGGAATCATGAGAATCACAGGAATTTGGTCAAAGCAGGATGAACAGTTCTGAAGATGAAACATTAGCATTACCATTTCTTACCTGCAGAGGAAACTATCCTGTGAGACAATGACTTCTCAAAAAATGGACAGGTACTGCTGATTTTTAAATTTTATGCTACTTCTTGGGTTTTAGAATATTTTGAAAACAATTACATCTGTAAGCTAGACAAGTTTGGAAATGTTTTGACACCCATTAGGTGCTCTGTCCTCTCTTGCAATTTGCTGTTTGGCACCGAGACAGACCAGTGCTCTGGCTCTCTTGCAAGTGGTCTCTGCAGGAAGCGCACATGTCATTAATAGCCCTCCTGCTTACTAAGACCCACCACGGAAAGCTGCCCTGAAAAGTTAGCTGTGTACATGAGCTGCACAACAGAGAATCGGGAGGATGATAATGGGGCTGAGTTAAAATCTGGCTTCAGTTCAGAGCTCATCACAGCACAAGGGAGGATGGCCTTGGAAAAATGTTGTCTGAAAGGTAATTTCCAAGACAAAGGACCACAGGAGAGGAACGGTAGTTTTGGTAAGAGGCA